CGAAAGAGCCAGATCAAAGTCGGGCAGCGAAGGAAAAAGGCACTGCCGATCACCAAATTCTCATTCACCCTTAAATAACAAATTCTGTTTCACAAATTGACCGGGATGATCCTCACGATAATAACCTTAGCATGACTATCGTCATGCGTCAGGTCATTAATTAAAAATATATAATGTTAAATAAAAAGATAATATGTATAAAAATCATATCATATAAGCAAGAAATAGTGTAAGAGTATTTATTACAAAAAGGGTTGCTAAGTTGTTTCGAATTATTCAATTATAAAACTTTTCAAGCACTTCGCCCTATCTAAAGAATTTTACAATGTAAAACTATACTATATATGCTTCAATTATTAGAAAATTTTAAAACTATAAAGTTTAAAATTAAAAAAAAAGTATATTTTAAAAATATGTGGGAGTTTAAAATATCTTATTTGTGTATCAATTTTAAAATTAGAAAATGAGATTTCTATTTAATGAAATAAACAAACTTTTTAACGATGACAAAAATCATTATTACAAATTTATCAAAAATAAAATAAAGTTGATATATCGCTTATTTGAAAATAAATATATTATCTATTTCTGTCACAATTAGATTTCCGTATATTAATTTTGAAATCTCCTACTATTAGAAATTTATAAACTCTATAAAAAATATTTAAATAAAATGTCCTGGAAACAGTCCAAGTTTCTTATTCTGGAAATTTTCAGAGAACCATTCTATTTTTTTTCAAGTTTATATTTAGGAAAATTTCAGGTTTTTTAAAAAATCACTAGATAATAATCATGTCTTATTTCAGAAAATGAGCATTTTCTGGAATGATTTCTAATGTTAATATTCTAGAGACACCCAGAATATATACTTCTAAAGATTCAGATAATTTTTTGTATAAGTCTGGCAAGCATACAGGTCATTTCACGATCATTTACATATAAAATAAGGACAATAATCAGAATAGAACAGGAATATTTTTTATATATTAGGAATATAATCGAATATTTTACATATTAGAAAGATAACCATATTATTTAATAATTATTTCATATACAAAATAAATTAAATTGTTATATAATATTGCTTTTATTTGATTAGTATAATATTGCTTTTATTGCTTAGAATAAATACTGAGACTGTGTATATTACATAATAAATAAAGCAATTTGTACGATATAATCTGGTGTGTTACATATTTGTGAACCCTATTTGCGTTTCTTAGAAGCTTTTTTGGTATTCGCTCTAGTTCTTCTTTTTTCTATGTATTAAAATGAAAGTATTATTATAAATCAAACATATTAAGATATAAAAAAAAGAGATGCCACAAGAGAAGCGAAGATAAAGTAGAAAATTGAATATTTATAATTATGAAGTATTTAATTTATATAGAATATATAGTAGATGCAAGAAAAAGAGAGATATTATTGGTAGAGGTGAGGAAATATAGAAAAATACTTACTAGTGTTATTTCTATTTTGCACGACTGGAGATAATGATAGATCAAACAATTGAGTGTCACCAATTTTAACTTCTATTGGACCTTGCTGATGACCGGGTTAAAATTCTTGAAGATCTTCTGGCAGATAATTCGGATAGATCGTTATCATCACTAACTTTAGAACTATTGATCTCAATTGAATTAGAACTGGTTGCTAATAACTGGGTTGGAATTGAACTATCAACCTTAATCATATGGGAACTTGTTGCTGATAACCGAGTTGAAATTTTTGAAAGTTTTAATGATTTAATTGTATGAGAGGTAGTAGTAGATAACTCAGATGCATCATTATTATTGCCAACTTCAGAACTATCAATCTCAATTGCTTTAAAATTTGTTGCTGTTCTTGAAGGTTTTGAAGATCTCATTGTGTGAGGGCCAGTAGATGATTCGAATGCATCGTCATTACTATTAAGTTTGGAGCTACTAACTTTAATTGAGTTGGAATTTGTTGACTATCAGATTGGAATTTTTGAAGGTCTTGAGGATTTAGTTGTATGAGGGGTAATGGTAGGTGATTCAGAATCATCGAAATTAGTAGTGGTAATACTATTGTGTCTTGGTGAATCATTTTCATTAGACGCTACTGATAAAGTAACAATTTCGTCATTGGTTTCTGCTATATCAGAATTCGTTACTGATAATTGAACTGTAGTTTTCTTAAATCTTGAAGTTGGAGGGATAACATTTTTACGTTTAGGAGATGGAGTGATACCATGGGCACGAGCTTTCTTTATCTTGTTCTTATGCTCAGTCTCCACTATAAATCAAATATTAATATATAATGTTATAACAGTTATTATAAATCAAACCAGTGGTGTTTAGCACTAGTAATTATAAAAATTGGTGTAAAAATTAAAATTTCTTTAATATTAGATTAGTATTGAAGCCTGGGATGAGGCAGGGACATGGCCTATACCAAAATTTTGCAAGTATTTTTTTAATTAGAGCCTCAATGAAGGTTTCATAGGTGATTTTTTGTATCTTCTAATTATGCGATAAATGTCATCTGAATTCTTAATGCAATTGCATTATTTGCTTCGATTCCTAATGATTC